AGCCATAAGACCTCAACACCAAAAGAGAAAATGAATGGAGGAAAAGCCTGAATCCAACCCTAAATATGTGCTAGTTGACATCCATACATCCTGCCTCGTATAACGTGTACTCTCATGAAGCTACAATCCTGATTTTTTTTGAATTTTTTTGAGGGTGACACTCAATAGACGTGTCTATAGGTGGAGAATGAAGCCTCCATATGTTCTCACTCAACCTAATGGCAGAATATGTACAATTTTAGTTTTCACAAAAGTGGAAAATCTACAAAGTGAAGAGATTGCCCTTTTATAACCAAAGGCAACAAGCCATTGCCATTGGATTAGATCAATATTCATCCTATCCACTCATCGTTCTGCTCATTCTAACCATTGAAATGAAACACCACACATGTTTAATGAACTAAATGAGGTGGTGTACCTTAAGCGTGCTTAAAGTCGTGTCACTTCGTTTAGCTAGACTGTACACTATGATTAGCAATAATGACCTAGGAGGTGCTATTGAAAACAGGTGACGTATCAATTGGTCATCTTGGAAATATATAATAGCTTTCAAATCATTAGCATGCAACCCTAAAATTATTATCAATTTAGACGATAATTCAATTATACTCCATCGTCCTCCATCCAGGACGTCGACCCTACCTCAACAGCTTTTCTCAAAACTATTATCTTTCAAAACTTCGTCCTCCATCCATAACCTCACCTCTATCTCAACAACTTTTCTCAAAGCTGCTATCTTTCAGAGGTGAGGTCAATCTGTCCAGGACCTCACCTCTATTTTAAGAACTTCTTCTCAAAGCTCCTAGCTATCAGAGCCTTGTCCTCCATCCAAGGCCTCGTCTTTTCTCAACAGTTTTTGTCAAAGCTTCTTTTAGAGCCCTTCAAAGCAGGTCTACATTTCTTGCGCAACTTCTACAAGGTATGCCAATTCACATCTACAATTCGAACATCACGCATGATATGAATATTCCATGCCGAGACTTGGGGGAGTTGAGTTATATAACATTTAAATACACAAATATGTCACTTCGCCAAAGAAAGGTAGGATGCTCCTTGCCAATGCACCTCGACAATGAGTTTGCCTTCATCACCATTCACTGAAGTCCACATATTATCTAAATATCCATACATGGACTTAGGTGATTATTGTTACGCCTTTTCCATTGAGGTTTTAGATCATCTACACGTGGCAATCAACCATATCATCTCCAACAATCAACAGGACTGCACCCTACTTCACCACCCAACTCCAACGTAAAAGCATGCCAGGGTGATGGATCACTTCATCCAAACTGCCCTAGGAGCTGACTCTCAAAGTTTGGAGTTGAGGTGTTACATGTGCCGCATTAATATGTTCGAAACAATTAGCTTATTAACTGATAGAAAATCATTTTCCATTGTCACCTCTCCCAAAGAGATTTTCTGTACAAGATCGATATATGATTGATGGATGTGACATCGTTGGAGCAAGGGCCAAAAAGATCATATGGTCAGCTTATATATCAAAGGTCAACCTAGGCTTTAGAGTTGCTATTCGTCATAAGAATTTAGTGCCTATTAGCCTATGATTAAAGGAATGATACCTAAGAGAAGACCTCACCCCTCAACATGAGGCCACTTGTCATTTTATCGAACGATTATTATTTTTCCTTTACTACTATAAAAACTCACACATTGTGTAATTTGAAGGAAATACAAGTTTAGACTCTTAAATTATAACTTTGCTCTCATTACATTCATTGCATACCCTATTGGATGGAACCTCTTGATATTTAGTGGCTTATGTTTCTAACACATCCTACATCATTTCAATTATGCATGGATTGATTTAATCAAAAGAGTGCATGCGATCGCCTTTTCCCCACCTTGGAAAAGGTCACGTGTGACTTAACGGTTTGTCCAATTGTGGAGGACTAAAGACTAAACATGGATGCGAGATGATTCCGAATCTCTTTGGTCACATCACCCCTACAAAAAATAACATTAACATAAAACGATCATGTGCTTTATTCCTCGTTGAATGGTTCAATTCTCTTCAATTCTAAAATTCTAATTTTGAAGATTGAGCTCACTTACAACTTTAATTTTTCATTGATCTAAAAATGATTTCAAACAATCAAATCTATTATGAATATCTCCTCGTGAAGCTACAAAATTTCACTAATTAAATGGTGTACCATGTTATCGGTGTTTATGAGATCATTCCTATACACACACACACTCTCAATTTATGTTATTTCTCAATGAAATTATTTTATAATTAAATATAAATCATATAATATAATTGCAGACACTAGTCACATTACCATAACATTATTTTCGTAGCCTCCTTTGAATTATTGAGTAATTGTCACTAAATCATTTTATAAATATAAATATTATAAAATTCATTCTTTAAAAATAACTTATACATGTGACGTTTGACTTATCATTTCTCAAATTTTAAAGAAAGATGGACTAACAACTTTTAATTGATTTTTTTTCCCAATAAAGGTAAATAAAAAAATTCAAGACAACTACTAAATGTAATATGATCCAGGGTTTTCGTGGGGGAAGTTTCATCTGGCCAGGTTTTATTTATGAATAATTTATTCAGTTATTCAATTTTCATAAATAAATATAGCCACCTTATTATTAGTGTTAATATAGGACAAAAAAGATTATAATGAAGTTGACATCTGATATTAAAATATTTTTGTTTAAATAAAAAATCGTATAATAAATATAGAGCATTGATTTTAAAATTGTTACGAGTCCTCTCAATTCCTCATAATGCATAATATAACTCCATGCCTCCGCATGTGGTAAATATTTTTTTACTCCTAGTAGTATTTAGCATTACAAGTTAGGGTTCAACATTGCACGTTATGATGAAATATTTTATAAGTGCTGTAAAAGTAATGTTTAATATCAATTTATTGGAAGATTTGATGAGTTTCAAACAAACTAAATAAAATAAAATTTTTGATAGAAATTTAAGAGAAGAAAATTACACTATCAAAACTCAACTTCTATAATTCAAATTTTTTGTGATGATGAAATACTATAAATGAGATACCTTTTTTATACTACATTTGGTACATAAGTATTAATTTCTAATATATAAATTTAAACACTTATTAAAATTTCTAGATATATGATTAGAAATAAATTTATCTATAATAACTCTAGATCCATGTAGATCAAAATTCATCAAGTCGAGATTCATTGAATCTAGATTAATGTGAATATTAATTAATTAAAAATTAATAATACGAAATTCATACATGCTAATACATGAATTTAAACATCCATTAAAATTTCTAGATAAATAAATAAAAATAAATTCATCTATCATGTAGATCAAGATTCATGAAGTGAAAATTTATTAAGTCCAGATTAATGAGAGTGTTAATTAATTGAGAATTAATAACACGAAATTCATGCATGACAATGATTTTATAGTATTTATTACATATTGAAAAACGAGAAGTAGGGTATTATTGAAATAATTGAATTATAATAGGGTTAAAATCGTCAAAAAAAATTATTCTCATTATATTTAATAAATTATAGATTATTATTAATAAAACTTGTGATTTAAAATAATCGATTTACATATAAAATAAATAACTTGTGTGTATTGGAAGGTGATGCACTCTAGAGAAAATTAATTAACCACATAGCACCCCACTAGGAGCTGTAGTCAGTGGAGCCTAAAACATAGGCCTTCCGAACATAAGATCTGTATTTCTAAAATATGGTTTTCATATAAATAAAATATTTTCTGTTCTCAGATAATTAAACAATTATGAAAATTCAGATTCTAAATAGTTTAATAGTTTTAAACTACTTTTATCATTTTTTAAGCAATTTTTTTTTTCAAGATTAATAAGAAGTTCAAAATCCTAATCACATCGGATTAAACTTATTGCTTTTCTCTGTAGAAAAACATTTATGAATGAAGAAATAAGCAAACAAATAAATGTATAATTTGTTTATCAATTTAAAAATCAACCGACAGTTTGGCTTCAAAATGTGGACAAAACTATTATTATAATTAAGAAAAATGTAACAAGTTTCAAAATTTTTAATGAAGTCTAATTCCTTCATAAAATACTTTATCTTAATTCAGCTGAAATTAACAAATTTGTAAAGTTTAATAGTCCAATCTTATACAATTCAAATCTCCATTTACATGTAAGAAAAATATCTTCCCCCTATTTTGTTTTGCAAAATATTAAACTTTTAGTAGATTTTGATAAAAATTGATGAAGTATGTAGATAAAAGTTGTGAATCTCATAAAATGTATGATAGAAATGAATTTGGAGGAAAAGTAAATTTTAAAGAATGAAGGTCAAACAAATGTCTTAGAAATTAATCTTTCGTAGAAATTACACGTTAAGAGAAAGGCAAAACTAGGTAGAGATGAATACTATATGATAGCGGCAGGAAATTCTTTGGCGTTGAATCAGGACAATCTACAAGATGATTTTTTTTTTGGAAAAAATAAAGGAGAATAGATCTTCCATTTTTCTACCACATATCCTATTGGTATTTGACAATTTTATTTTAAATAAATAACCTGAAAACAGTCAAATGGAGAATACATTGTCCCAACAAATATTAGATGTAATTTTACTAATAAATGGGGTTTCACTTGTATTCCATAAAAAAAAAAAATTTAAGTCATTTTTAATTGAAGTTGCATCGGTTGATCGGAATACTGAGATGGATATGTCGTCTACTTTTATCTCTTCAAGTGAGAGTTAAAATTAATTCTCATTTACCTACCTGTGTTCATGTGGGGGAGGATGAAAATGTGTGTGCTCAGTTCACGACTTGAGACATGGTCAACTCCTGTAGTGTAGTGTGACAGGCGTTGTGTAGCGATTCTGGCTTCTTGCAAACCAATTGCAATCTACCATTCACATGTAATAAGATCTATTCAAACATATTGTTTTAAATTTATTTAAAATAAGAATTTTACTCCCATCCCTTGGTCTTGCATTAAGAAGTCTGAACCCTAATGCATGTACATATATATTGCCATCTTTATTACTGCTTCAAACAAGTTCCACTATTACAAGAATTTTCCTAATGTGGATACTAACTGAAGCTTATCGCTAAAAAGCATACACTAATGCCAACTGATACTTCACTTTACCACCTAATCACCCCACCCCATCTCCCCTTAGTCATCTTCTTGACTGTACAAAATTTTCTTGGAGTGATTTGGCTTCAAATTTTCATCATTTTCTAGCAGTTTTTGGTAAAGATTTTTTTCCCCCTCAATTCCACTCATCAGAAGAGTACCAATAGATGGTTGGAGCTTGATCATCAGAAAAGAAAGTACTGCATGATTCCTCACTGGAGAAAAAGGTATGCTCCTCAATTTTCACACATTGTGGCATATAAGCTTTGTGGGCATCTCCAAGAATACTTGCTTTTGTGTCTGAGAACTGGAAACTGCAATTCATATTGTCAACAATATCCAAGAATTCGTCGTGTGGGCTCTGATGAAGAATCACTTTCTCGGTCGACGATGAAATAGCTGCAGTCGGGCTATTGTTGATTTCTTCACTCAAGATTGCACTTGAATAATCAGTGCTATCAGATGATCTGTTTTCTTTAAAGCTGTCAAAGTTTGCACCAGAATCTGATTTAGCATTGCCTTTTTCATCAGTTTGTGACTTTACTGCCTCTTTCTTGACAGAAATCTTGCTTTCAGCACCCTCGTCTAGCTTTGATTTCAGGTCCAGGATCTGAAAAAAAAAACATGCAGAAAAATTCAAAGATTTTATCTTTGTTTTCATGATCAAACAGAAATTAAGACGAGTTTTTTAGTACTTCTCTAAGTAGAGCTTCATTGTCACATTGAAGAGTTTCATAGTTGAGTTTAAGGGCATCATAATTGGCTTTGAGAAGGCCATAATCTATCTCTAATTGCTTAGTCTTCCACCGCGCACGGCGGTTTTGGAACCAAACCGCCACCTGCCGTGGTTGCAGCCCAAGTTCTTGCGCTAACTTCACTTTTCTATCAGGTTCCAGCTTATTTTCGACTTCAAAATTCTTCTCTAATGCCTTAACTTGATCCACGTTTAATCTCCTCTTCTTTTGGCCTAATTCTTCAACACCACCTTCTTCATCTAACCCTTCAAACATGCTTTGGAACTCCCTCGAGTAAACATGATTGTTCACTTGCTCATGTTCATCTACACAAAACAAAACAACTTATAATTAGAAATTAAGTGAAAATAAGATTAAGTACAAACTACAGAGGGACAGGAAAACATTTTTGGAATAACATGATCATTTACAAATGAAATTATTTTCACCTGTTGTGTTTGGACAGATGGACATTATAGCACCTAATGAATCACTACTGCCAAGTCTCTTCATTCTTGATGAGTGATGACTGAGCAAAATTGTACTCGAATTTGTATTAGAATCTATTAGATCAGAATAAGCAAGATCTGTTTCTTAGAGTCCCTTCATTTTCAAGAAAAGGTGGAACCCAAATTCATAGCCAGAGAATCCCAAGAGGCAAAGCATACATTTGTATACATGTAAATTCACTATGCAGCTTTTTCTCTTTCTTGGGTTCTCCATTTCCCCCCTTTTTTATCACTTTCTTTTCCTCTGAATTCATCAAAAAGAAAAAGCAAACAAACCCCAAAACCCAAAAAAATGAGTAATCAACAGCTGCACTCTTTCTTTACATGATTATTACTTCAATCAATTCAAGAACCATATATTGAACAACAATGGGGGATAGGGTTGGGGTGGCGCGAGGTGGGTTGGCAGCGAGGAGGAATGGGGAGAGATCAGAAGACCAATTCTGTACCCAGCTGGCGTCCTAAAATTTCTGTCTTTAAATAAAACAAAATGGGGTCCCATATAGGGTTAGAATCTGACTAGGGTTAGGTATATTTTTTGCAATAAGGGTTTGGGTATAAATGAAAATGAAATGAAACTCAAATTCAAATTTGTGTCTACCGGCTATTGCTGGTTTTTTTGACCGTTTGGGGGAGATATTTGTTTTTGGCGGTGGTAATGTGATAAGAGGTTTTGATTAGCTGTGATAAGTGGAGATTTTGGGAAGTCTGGTGCGGCTCGTCTAGCCACTTGTGGCTCGGCTTGAGTCGAGCTGGTTTTAGATTTTGGTAGTGTCACTTATAGCCTCTTTGATGCAGATATTTTAAGAATAAATTTTATGAAAATTGATTTTTTTTAGAAAATAATTAATTAAAAAGTGAAGAATATTATGGGTTGATGTATAAAATTATTTTATTTAAAAATGAGTTTAAAGAAAATAAAGTTTAAAGAATTTGTACAAACATGGTTTGAATTGTTTGGTGATTTTACAAAATGTAACACACATGGGGATATTGAAATATCCTTATTTTTCGTTTTGTCTCGCCTCATCCTATTCCATCTAAAATTCAAACCCAATTGTGCTTGGTGTACAACAATAATTGCTGATCTACGAAATAATGTGTACAAAGAAGAAAGAACAATGGTCGAAATTGTAGTTACAGTGTATAAATGCACTAAAAAGGATAATACTAAAGTAACAAGCTGATCTACGAAATAAAAAGATGAATAAACGAGATGCCGATTAACTTCAAACCTATGGTTGTGGCCAAGATCTTGGCCTAAGGAAGGTATTATTTTACTAGAAAACTATCTCGTAAGTAAATATGTCAATTTTATTTGGGCTCTTTCTTTTCTTTATTTCCAAAGTTTAATGGTGTCCATGACAAATGCTTCACCTAACCCTAGTGGTCAATACATGAATTGTGGTCCTTCCAACTTTGATACAAAATATATTTGACCATTAGATCTTTGTACAAATTAAAGATTGCCAATAGTAATAATTTTTTCAATAATTCAATTACTATCATATCATGTAAACAAAGAACAATTTTATCACTGATATCTGATAAACAAGACGAAGATTCTAATGTGTACAAAGAACAATGGACGAAATTGTAGTTACAGTATATAAAGGCACTAAAAAGGATAATACTAAGGTAACAAGCTGGTCTACGAAATAAAAAGATGAATAAACGAGACGTCGATTAACTTCAAACCTACGGTTGTGGCCAAGATCTTGGCCTAAAGAAGGTATTATTTTACTAGAAAACTATCTCATAAGTAAATATGTCGACTATATTTGGGTTCTTTCTTTTCTTTATTTCTAAAGTTTAATGGTGTCCAGGACAAATGCTTCACCTAACCCTAATGGTCAATACAGGAATTGTGGTCCTTCCGACTTTGATACCAAATATATTTGACCATTAGACCTTTGTACAAATTAAAGATTGCTAAAAATAATAATTTTTTCAATAATTCAATTACTATCATATCCCAAGCAGGGCTGTCAATGGATCAAATTTTGATCTGAATCCAATAAAATTAATGGGAAATTGATTTAGGTTTTCAATCCAATAATCCAATCAAGATCCAAATTCGATAATTCGTCAACTAAATTAGGTAAATATGGATATAGACCAATCTAATCTGATTTATTATAATAATATAATATATTTTATATGCTATTGCATAATTTATTACGCAATTTTTTCCATTTTGAAACTTGTATTATATTTTTCACATTATTTTTATATAATAAATAATATTATATAATAGTATAATATTGTTAATTGAAATATTGAAGAGATTTAATTTTTTATTAATTAAAATAAGATAAAAATAATAATTAATTTATTTTATAAATTAAATAACCAAATGAGTCAATAGTTGGAGTTACTTTCATTATTCGAAAGTTCATATTTACCACATCATATGCTCACTAGAATACAATAAAATTTACAATTTATAAATAGATGGGGCAAGAATTGGGTGAAAAGTTATATGGACATTTTAATTCTAGGGCTTAGAAGTTGAATAATATAAAAATTTTATCTTTCTAATTTTTCCAATTTTCGATCAACTTATCAGATTGGCTATCCAATAACATAACAAATCGAATATTGATTTAACAATCAAATATTCGTTGGATTATCATATTGGATCAAATCAAATAAGTATTCTTAATGGATTGAATCGGATTTGGGTAGATCCAATTTATATTCAATCCATTTACAGCTCTAATCCCAAGTAATACGAATACTTTATAACTACATTAGATATTATATGAGCCAAGGAGATGAACAAAATCAAATGATATTTTGTGATATTCATACGAAAGCTCATATCCATTTTCCACTTAAAACCCAACAAAATGATTTGTTTATATGCTTAATAAAAGAACATTGTCGATTATACTATTAAGATTAAAAACTGGAAAACTTTGTTTCCATTTTCTCGATTGAGATGGACGAAATCTTAGACAATGAACTTAAGAGTATTTTAGTGCTTACTATTAAATAGTAAAATTGATAAGATTTTAACTTATGTGCTATATCTTTTAAGAAAAATGGCAGGAAAGGATCTTCTCTTCTTGGTGCATGCATGGTTGATCCAGTATGGGACATTATATTTGTTTCTGACCTGCAGCAAGTATTGACCTACATAACTTTTTTCAATTAATCTACTTGTACAAAGTAGGTTAACAAAGTTTGTTGACAAAATCAATGTTGGCAAGATCTAGGCTGTTAATCTGTTTTGAATTCAAAAACTGTTTTTGAAATGAATGATAAAGATATTGCCAACTCATACTTTGTCAACCAACTTTGTCATCCTCCTTTGTATGTGTAGCATCACTCAACTTTTTTGGACAGTTTCTTCTACTATTTTATGATTACATATGAAGAACAATTGAGCACATGAACCTTTTAAAGTTGCTAGTAATGAATGATAAGTAGATAGATACCCATAAATAATGATAGGTTGCCACATTAAAGGTAGCTTCATATCATGTCACCGCGAAAATATTTATTTGAACGTTAATATTAGATTGAAAGGGTATAATTATCTCAAGAGATTTCTTTCATTGAAAAACAAAATAAACAGTGACTTCAAATTTCATAAGTGAAACTTAAAAGCTTTGTTTCAATCCATATCCAACATCAAGTGGCTATTAACATCAGATAAATATCTTCCATTAGAAGGGACATGGGTGCCACCGTTTTATAAGTTTCGAAACAGGGGCGGAGCCAGAAAATGAATGTTAGGATGGGTTGAAACATAAACTTTTTTTAATGAACTTACTTCACAAGAAATCGAGTTTCGAAAGCTATTTTCATAACATTTACGATAAAAAGTATACGACACTCAATGAAATAAAAAAAAAAAAAAATAGATATCTCACATTAAGATATTCCACTAAATTTTTGTATTTTTTTATCAAATAGAAAATCAACACTTACTTTAAAAAATATAAACTAACCAAATTATAATAGAAATAAGCAAAAATACATATCAACCAACAAAAATTTAAGAAATTATTCAATGAGTATTCTTCTAGTAATTTTAACAATCAGTCTTTCCAAACAACTGAAAGTTTTCACAAATATTCTTTTGATTGTCAATATCAAATCTATAGTAAATTATTTATTTTGATCATAATATCTATTTTATGGTCAAAATAAGTTTTTTTTTTATAAATATGTATTAGTAACAAATAAAAACATACGTAGTAATAAAAAAATTAATTACTTTTAAATTTAGAAAAATATGTAGTGTCTCTATCTATTAAAATAAGTAATTTACTTTTAGATCTAATCAATACAAATTATCTATAATAAAATTTACTTAATAATTATAAGTAAATTTTAGTCAAACATGCATTAAATAGAATATCTAATTTGACAATAAAATATTTACATTTCATGAATGCCATGAAAAGAGTAATTAATAATTGTAGTGCCTTTAATACAATTTGAATAATTGAGCATTGGAGTTGGATTGAAATTTAAACTATAGTTGGACTAATATTAATATTTTGGGCCAAAAGTCTACAATTCTTCTTAAAGCTGGGCTAATATTAATATTTGGGCTAATATTATTTATATGGGTTGGGGAGCTAATATTGTTTATATGGGGTGGGAAGCATTGCTGGGCTCTCTATCTCCGTCTCTGTTTGGAAATAGGAGTATTAGTATTCTAAAAGGATTAAAGCATTACTAAGTTTGGAACAATAGTCACACTCGTGCCACATAGGAAGTGAATATGCTAGGTACATGACTTTCTCCCCATCCAATCCACTAATGTGCTCATAGCGGGACATGAGCTTGGCATCACGCAATACACTTATTGCATTCTCTTTCGCGTAGATGAGTAAGAAGAATTTCCACAATTGCAGCACCACTACATGATGGACGGGCATCCACACTCTACTCATAGTATTTATGCACGCACTATCTTCAACATCAACCTTCACCCTATGCCCTACAGACATTAGTTCATCGAAAATACCAACACCAGATGTCTATCTATCATTGTTGTTTACTTGCAATGTTCATCATGTTCCATGAAACAAATAGATAAGCATATACATCCAATCACACAACAGTTGCCTTTATCATCCATTGTCAACAAAGCTTTGTTCATTAGTTTCACTCACTTGTTGGCCCCTTAGACGGCGTTATTTCAAGCCTATTAGAACAATGAGTTAAACAAATGGAATGATCAGGATATGGGTGCCACACTTATAAAGGTTGAGGACCCCTAGTTGAAATTTCAAATGTTTTTGCATACATGTTTTAGGGAATTTTTATTAACATGTAATTGATTTTCTAAATATGCAATTTTTTCTTATACTATATTATGTGATTTAGTACTTCACACCACTTTTATATAACTCGGGGACATATTTTCAGTAGGTATAATTGAGCTCTTTCGAAAGGACAAATCAAAATGATATCTCACACAATTCATTT